AGGTTTGAACCCGCCACCTGCAGTATATGGGGCCAGCGCCCTACTCCTTGAGCCACAGGCACTGCCCCAGAATCTTACTTTGTTGCTCTAGGTAGAGTGCTGTGGCATCATAGCTCACAACAACCTCAATGTGATCTTCCTGCCTCAGCTTCCTGAGTAGCTGAATGATAGCACCTGCCATAATGCCTGGCTAGTTTTTTCTAATTTTAGTGGAGACAGGGGTCTCACTCTTGTTCAGATTGGTCTTGAACTCCTGAGCGCAAGCAATCCACCCACCTTGGCCTCCCACAATGCTCATGTTTGGTTTTTTTTTGTAGAGACAGAGTCTTACTTTGAGTGCCATGGCGTCACACAGCTCACAGCAACCTCCAACTTCTGGGCCTAGGTGATCTCTTGCTTCAACCTCCCAAGTAGCTGGGACTACAGGTGCCCACCACAATGCCTGGCTATTTTTTTTGCTGCAATTTAGCCAGGGCCAGGTTTGAACCCACCACCTGTGGTATATGGGGCTGGTGCCCTACCCACTGAGCCACAGGTGCCGCCCTCTTTTTCTGTTAAAAGATGTGATCTCCCACTATTTCCCAGTCTGGAGTATAGTGATGTAATCATAGACCACTACAACTTCAAGTTTCTGGGTTCAAGTGATTCTCCTGCTTCAGCCTCCTAAGTAGCTGGGACCACAGCCTGTGACACCACACCTGGCTAATCTTTTAATTTTTTGTAGAGATGGGGGTCTCCCAGGCTAGTCTCAAACTCTTGGCCTCAAGTGATCCTCCTGCCTCCCCACCCCAAAGCACTGAGATCACAGGCAAAAGCCACTGCACCTAGCTAGGTCATCTCAGTGAATGCAGACCCAAAGTTCTCAATTTCACTACTTCAATTCAGGCAGGGGTATGTTGTGAGCGATTGTGAGATGCCTTCCAAATATATTTTTAGAAAAAGCAAAGAACCAAACAGTTTATTTAAAAGCACACATACACAAAAGAATAATTCATATCCCTCACACATTTTCATTCTCTGAATGAGAAAAAAAGGGATGGAGGTGCATCTAAAATGCTACGAGCTGTGGGTAACACCAGCCAGGTATACCCACAACAGCAACCTGCCTATAAACATCCATCATGTGAACTGCAGCAGTAAAAAGTCTGAGCAACACCAGTTTAGAATTAAGAAATAAGCAATCTACCTATTAAATTGGCAAGGATTAAAAAAAAGCAACTACATCCAGCTGTTCACTCAGTGCTTATCCACTGAGCACTGTACTAAGTGCTAAGGCTACAATAGTCAACCAGATAAAGCCCCAGCTGTCTCCAGCAAGAGAGGCAGACCTCAAATAGGCAATTTCAAGAGGGAGAGGAATTAAGAACAGTCGAGTTCAGGGTACACACAGCTAAGCATACATCTGGGTGAACTAAGCATGTTTGGGGATCAGGGAAGGCTATCTGGGGAGGGGGGTGATGTGCAAACTAAGATTCAGATGGAAGATTAGAAACAAGCCAGATAAAAAATGGGAGGGAAGAGGCATCCAGATCAGGGAAGAGCTTGTTATGTATGGCCCTGGGGTGACAGAGAAGTATGTTCAAGAAAATAAAAATGACTAACAGGGCCTGAGAGTAAGGGACAAGGGGATGAGTGCTCAGGATAAAACTGGAGAGGTAGTTAGGAACTAACCACAGAAGACCTTATAAACTGGCTTATGGCTTGGGAAAAGAAAGCCTCTGAAGGATTCCAAGGAAGGGTATGGCATGATTGGAACTGCTTTCTAAAATATTGCTCTGGGAGAAAATCAAAGTGGGGGCAAAAGAGGAATGTATTTACACACATATGCCACAAATATGCAGGGACCACCTGTCAAAGATGTATAAGCAATCAGTAAAGTGAATGCCTTGAAGGAAATGGGCTAGAAGACTGAGGGAAGAGGGGTCAGATGAAGGCAAACTCATTTTCTGGCATATCTTTTTGTACTCCTCAAATTGTTTACCACATGTCAGTATTTCCAGTTAGAAAGAATTTAACTAAATGGCTATTAACATAGAAAGAGGACCATAGGGACAGGCAACTTAACTACATATAAATTTCAGAAAACTAAGTACATGGAAAAGTCTTTGTGACATATCACTAAGGCAAAGAACAATAAAATGGCATTGTACATTTTTAATTTACACACACAAGGAAAAGGCTGGAAAATCATACATTAGTCCTAAAGCGATGACTGGTGAACACTGAGACTACTTTTTTTTTTTTTGAGACAGTCTCAAGCTGTCACCCTGGGTAAGAGTGTCATAGCATCATAGCTCACAGCAACCTCCACCTCCTGGGCTCAAGTGATTCTCCTGCCTCCGCCTCCCAAGTAGCTGAGTAGCTGGGAATACAGGCTACTGCCACAATGCCCGGCTATTTTTTGGTTGCAGCTGTCATTGTTGTTTGGCTGGCCCAGGCTGGATTTGAACCCACCAGCTCAGGTGTATGTGGCTGGTGCCTTAGCCACTTGAGCCACAGGTGCTGAGCCTGTTTTTTTGTTTTTACTTTTAATTTTTTTGAGACAGAGTCTCACTCTGTCACCCTGAGTAGAGTGCTGTGATATCATCATAGCTCACAGCAACCTCAAACTCCTCAGTTCAAGTGATCCTCTTGCCTCAGACTCCTAAATAGCTGGGGCTATAGGCTCATAACACAACAGGCTAATTTTCTTTTTTAGTAGAGAAAGGGTCTCTCTCTTGCTAAGGCTGGTCTTAGACTCTTCTTAGCTCAAGCAATCCTCTCACCTCAGCCTCCCAGACTGTTAGCATTACAGGTGTGAGCCACTATGCCTGGCCCAATTTACAAATGATTTTTGTTTTCTTTTTCCATGTATTTCTGTTCTTCCCATGTTTTCTTTTCTTTTCTTTCTTT